GGAGAAAACAGTAAGATTGGAATTTCACCGAAAATAAACGAAGAAAGCAATCGTGAAGCTCTAGCAAGACAAAGGAGAATTCATTCAATAAAAACGAACAATGTTTCTGGGGCAATATTTTGTATGTTATAGTCTTCTATATGTAGAAATGTTCCTACGCTTGTGAAAGGGGTCTGCGTTAAACTTACTTGGTATGCGCATTTTATACTCGTTGTCTGTGCAAGAGATGTTCATGTTTTATTACTATGTGAATGCTGGGGAAAATCCAGTGTCACTAAATTTAGGTGTTATGAATGGGAAAAGAATTATATTATTTTACTTCTCAGACGCCTAATTTTCTTTTCATTTGATTTTCATATATCACCTACAGTTACGTGATATTGCATTGTATAAATTATAGTTTTGCTTTACCAGTAGCTCTCACATGAATTTCTGGCCTTTCCGAATTTCTTTCTTCGTGATTTTCAGGGCGCTCCATCGGCGCAGAGGGATTATGCTTGTTATAAAAAAATGCCATGCAAAAATTGCAAAAGTGTTCTAGAAAAATGTACTGGATATTTTCATAGATTTTTTTTTCCGCGGCGGTACAAATACAATGTTTCAAAATGTCGAGCGTTAGTAGGGTAACACTGAGGTAGATAAAAAGTCAAAAGTTTTCTCACCTATACTGGGTATGGATGTGCAAAATTATTGTTTCGTTTTCCCTGCCACTCTAACCATAATCATGTCAGTGACAAAACATTTGCACAAATTTGTTGAATAATTTCTATTTGGGAATAAAATCTCATATAAACAACAAGTATTTTCCGCTATCGTCCTACTTCACAGAATGAAGCATATAGCATTGCACTTAATTAAAATTCCTTATTTTCAGGCATGAGCGCTGTTACACGTCTTGGGTAACTGACGCTTGTGGGTATACAACTTTCGTAGAAATCACACACCAAATACTTGTTAGCGAATTCATATATATATATATAATATATTCGACTCTCCGGTCGTGTTCGACGTATAAGGGTCAAGCAGTTCAATTCCTAGGAACCGACAGCCCAGACAGGACACATGTGATTTGATTATAGTGGTGAAGGTTTTGTGCAGAAACATCCACACATTTTGAAGGGCAGAATACAGAGGCCTTGTGCACTATGCGCCACAAGGTCCCCAAACGAGCCTCTGCAGGTTTTAAATTCAGAGTTGTCCTTCTCCTAGACCAGTTGCCATGCAAGGCTACAAACCCAGTTATATATATATATATATATATATATATATATATATATATATATATATATATATATATATATATAAGTGTGTGTGTGATAATTCAGAAATAAATAAAGTATATCTGTAAAAAGACAACATGAATAAAGTCAAAAGGAAAACATTTCTTTACCAATGCGTATCGTCCTTTGATAGACCCTATCGTGGTAAATGTACGGATTTTATTTTGCAACATCTCTATCGATAAAAGGCAGTGTGTGTGTGTGTGTGTGTGTGTGTGTGTGTGTGTGTGTGTGTGTGTGTGTGTGTGTGTGTGTGTAACGAATGCACGGCCGCAATTTTCGACGGATTTGCACCCAAATTTACATGCACATGCTCCAAGTTAGCGGGAAGCTCAAGACCGACTTTGCATTTCCCAACTCCCGTCGATAGTGGAAATAACTGATTTTTCCATGCTTCTACGGCAGTTTTCATGTAGTTTGGGGCCATTTTCTACTGGCCAGAGGGAGAGACTACAGCTGGCTGCCACGAATAGGCAGGAAGATTCTATTGGTCAGCGTGAGAGCCAACAGCTGGCTGACACATATGTTAACTAGCATGCAAAAAAAAAAAACAAAAAAAAAAACTCGATAACTGCATTCGTCACAAGTGGGAAAAATTTAAATCTGCATGGCACTTTACTCCAGTTGGCTCATTCGCTTGCTTAAACTCAACGTTGATTCTGATTCCGCAGAACTGCGTTGGGTGTGAAAAAGTATTTGTTTTTTACATTCTTTTTTCATTCGGTTTTTCCAGTTACGAGTTCTTTTTTTTAAAGCTGATCGTTTTGTGTTCATTTTGTTTAGTTCTTTTTTCGTAACAGATTTAATGTTTAGTATAGAGCTCAGACAAAATGCGCTTTGGGAGATAGGCAAGAAGTAAGGCATGTAGCAACATCAGCATGGCAAAGGACACTCTTTTAAAGGCAAGGAAGGGCAAAAATATTTTAAGTCAAGTGATAGCGATTGCTGTATGAGTCGTACAATTTTTTAATCAAGCACGGGTAACGCCGGGCCAAGCTACTAGTGTATTTATAAAAAGAAGTAAATAAAAATATCGTTAAGTTAGAAAAAAATATGTGTGTAAAAATATCGATAGGCTAAAAATTATTTTTCAATCTGTATTTATAAACAGAACTAAAAATATCGTTAGGTTAAAAATATTTAGCAACATGTAATTTTAAGCTGAAATAAAATATCGTTATGGTTAAATAAATATAGCTTAACAAATAAAAAAATTAAAAATTCAACTATATTAACAACATTTACTCACTTTTATTTATTAGGCACATTGCTTACGTCACTCAGTGTCCCCGATAGTTTATCTTTACTTTGACAGTTTGCCTTAAGAATATTTTGAGCGTTCTTAAATAAAAAAAACAAAAGTTAACGATATACAGAGTGACCAAAAAAACGGGATTTTTTTAAGTCCGTATTACTTGACATGAGCAAGTGGCAACACTGCGAGACCTTGAGCAAGTAAACATTTTGCCATTTAAAATTCAAGATGAAATTTACAGTATCCCAGCTGAGATGTTGCAGCAGTCAATGAGGAATCTCAACAGCAGATTTCAAGAATGCATTCGTATAGAAGGACGCCATCTACAGGACGTAATTTTTTAAAAATGAAAATACCACCATTGTTTCTTAAATGGCATATTTTAAGGTTTCAATTACTATGAATAAAATATTTTTCTTCTATTACTCTTGGTTTTATTGGATTGTTAAAAGTTCCCGTTTTTTTTTTTGGGCGGGGGGTCACCCTATATTTACCTCTATTTATAAATGCATGTTGCAAACTAAGTTACCTATGGGTAGCTTTTTAGCCAACGTTCTGCTAACCTGAAAATACCTTAAATTCTCGTAATTTCCGGGTATTTTTTCGGTGTATTATTATTATTATTATTATTACTACATTTGCTTTGGTTTCTGGAGTAAACTCATTTCTTTATGGGTCCCGACTAGAGACCTAAAGTCAGAAATGGTATTGTGACATTTTCCACTGAGCAGTTTTGAAAAAAAATAATAGCACATATTTTACATAGATAAAGCCCTTTGTAAGGTGTGGGCTGTACTTGTGAGTTAAATTTATTGTTATTATAATTATATTTCCTTTGATTCCCGGTGTGTACAAATTTCTTTCTGGGTCCCGCCCAGCGACCTAAAGTTAGAAATGGCATTATGACATTTTCCACTCACCAATTAAAAAAAAAAAAAGACACACATATTTTACATAGATAAAGCCCTTCGTAAGGCGTGGACTGTACTCGTGAGAACAATTTTTTATATTTCTTCAAGGCATGGGTTCCAGGAATCCCTTCAATTAGTTTACTGGAATATTTTCCAAACAAATCCGAGGGCTCCAACTACAACAGGGATTTTTGTTGTTGTTTACGGTCTCTAATAACTTTGCTTTAATTGTTCTGTCTGTGTGTATTGTGTAGTCCCATAAAATTATAACAGGTCCTATCTCCGTAACCGGGTCTGGGTGGTGTTCATACCAAATTCTTTCAGTTTCCTTCCCGTAGAAGTTGCAGATTTTCCAGTGCAGATATTGGCCCAAAATGTCATGCCGGATTTTATATTCAGCGGGTGCAAATATCGTGCAACCTGATACAAGATGATCAATTCTTTTTGGGTAATTATCACAGATCCTGCATTTTGGGTTAACACTGTATTTTAGTATGTGTGCTTGATAATTTCTAGTTAACAATCATTGGTCCTGTTCATCATCATCATCACCATGACTAATATTATTATTATTTTTATTTTCTTTGATTTCTGGCGTTTACACATTTCTTTCCGGGTCCCGCCCAGGGACCTAAGGTTAGAAATGGCACCATGACACTTTCCACTGACAAAAAAAAAAGAAAAAAGAAAAGGGAAATTACATAGATAAAGCCCTTCGTAAAGTGTGGGCTGTACTTGTCAGAACAATTTTTTAAAGTATCTCCTTGAGGCATGGACTTCCAGGAATCCCTTCAATTAGTCTACTGCAATCTTTTCCAACCAGTCCTAGGGCTCCAACTACAACAGGGATTGTTGATGTTCCCATATGCCACATTTTCGAGATTTCTATTTCAAGGTCCTTGTACTTTGACAACTTTTTGAATATCTTCAAAGATACATTGCAGACAGCAGGGACTGCCATATCAATAAGGAGGCATCGTTATTGTTTGTATTATTATATTTGTTTTGATTCATTCATTGATTCGTTTTCTACAGCTTATCATACTACTTTGTGGTCTATTTAATGCCAGAAAAGATTTTGGGTGGGGATAACAATGATTTAGTGATACAAGTCTAAATAATTACATGATAACTGGCGGGAGACGAAGTGGGTTCATATCTTACTGTTGAAACTTGAATAAAACATGGAATAATAATAATACAACACAAAATGTACTTAAACAAAATGTATTGACACAAGAACGTGTACACAATATTTACAGATAGTTTGGTATATTCTTGGGAAGACCGTTCCTGTAGAATGGGTTGACATTAGTCGCAGTCGGGCAGAGTCTCTGGATTGGATCTCTTCTTCCTCCCCCGTCTTCCCGGTACCAACCATATTTATATGGTCGGTACTCCACTATGTAAATTAGGTGGATCGTACCACAGCACTTACCCAAGTGTAATTGCGCATAAGGGAAAATAAAGACCCCCAACTGTAATTGAAAATCTGCTCTCCGATGAGTAATTGCAAGCCAGTATCTATTACCCCGGATGCATATCCTAGCTTAA